GCAGTTCCCAGCCACTGTCCAAACCGGTCAGCTGTCTGGTCCGAGGAATAGGTACAGTGGCTGACAGAGCTAGAGAGCTCGCCTGCGCGCGCTGCATACACGGCCTGGCTTCCCAAACGCACTCACCACGGTTTCGTACAACCTGGGGAGTGGGCCTGCATGCATCTCAATTGTGTGAGTCTACCAGAGGTCACGCCAAGAAGAAGCCTTCGCAGCCAGACTCAGTCCACTGGTCAGCCTCTCGACACACAAACACATGACTAGGCTGACTGTGTTGACTGATTTAAAGCGTCAGTTGGCAGTCTTGCCTTCCACTGCGATTGGCGCATCGCGACAGTCTCAGGCCCGGATCACACACGCAGCAGAGGAGCCACATGTAAAGGAAGCCGAGAAACACACTTTCCACTTACGCGGAATTGGACAATCACCTTGTTCTGTTGTGTGGTTGTGGGTCATTTTAGTGTGCTTTTTAGGTGCTGGTGAGAATAGTGATGGGATTGTATAACTGGCGGTATTCTACCGCAGGTTTTCGCGAATGCGCATATGATCGAAGAGGGCCATGCCTTGGGAAACAACACGCTGCATTTCAGCCGTTGCGGACTATGATACCGTATGCGCGAGAGCGGGATTGGCGCAGGACGGTAGCTTCCGCATCACGGTTACCAGAGTGTGAATGCTCAGTTAAACACAGTTTTGGGTCGCTACATGTGACTTGTTTGCTAATTAAGGGCCGAGAGGAACAGTCCGGGCACAAGGCTCATGAAAGGCCTTATCGCTCCCACAGGGTGTTCCCGATCTCTGGAAATGTCCTACGTCCCGCCGGTTATCCCACAACCATTCTAACATGCAGGTACAGGCTTACTGTTTTTATGATGTCCTGCTTGCACTTATACTAGTACTTATTTGTAGGTATCATGGTCCCGGGGTTTGCTTCACGTTTTTGTGGCCACGGACTGCACAACGGACTGCTCTGTGGGCCTCTCCACGCTGATAGATTTTCCGTCCTATCAACCACATCGGTGGACCCGGTGGGAATTTCTCCATCATATCTGGCATCCCGATTTCATCTGTGGCTCCAAGAATCTGTGCTCTACACAGAAGCAGCACCCAAAAGGCTTTACTTCACCGGCGGACATGACCACATGAAGGAATCTGCTGTGTGTTGCCACATCAGGCACATCTATGCGATTCCACTCGTTCTACTCCACCCTCACCTTTAGAGGATCCTGCAGATAAGTCCGCCCACGCCAATTCAGGTCATTTGCTGCCGTACCTACCGTGGGTCGAAGTGGAACTCGGAAACTCTCTGAGATGTCAAAACATTTATGTCTGGGGTCTGACTGCTTACTAACTTACGGGAAAGGGGACCAGAACGGGTGCTTCAGACAAATACTAGTTTACCCCTTCTGCATAGCCTACCGTGGCTGCTGTACGCTACACAGCCCGCTCAAGAATGCAATATGGGCTATCTATTCCTTTAACGACATTGCTTAACCTAGGAGTCTTGAATAATCATTGACAGACCGACTTGCAAGGAGAACAGTTGTGTTTCAATAGAACGTGAATGTCACGCCACACTTCTGGAAACGGTAGAGAAGCAGGGTAGGGTGTTGGAGGTGTTCCCCAGCCTCCCGACGGGTGACTTAGACATCGGCCATATAAGTACAACCAGAAGGATTTCCGCTTAAATCGCGATCAATGAAGCGTTAGAATCCGTGTGAGGCACTTCGGAGACCAAATAGCCTGTGAATAAATTCGAAGAAGCCAAAAGGAGTCGTCAGTGACGTCTTGGGAACGTTTTCAGGCGCAATCGGAATTAAATGAAAACGCCAAACACTGCATCTGCATCACAACCTCGCCATTCTGCGTCCCCTGCATATGGCGCCCTCAGTAGACGTCACGTTCACTTTCCTAATCGGCTCGTTACTGATATCTTTTAGACTTGTACACACCTTTCGCCTCGTTTTACGCCGCCCTCCGGTCTCGGATGGGAATGGGTGAAGGATATTGTGCCTAGGTGTCAGGCTAACTTGTTTTTAACTGAGTACCTTTCTCCAACTGTACTGTTTGTTTTGATAAGCGCATACAACCCTGCCGGAGTTTTCCGTGCGACAGTTGTGCCGGATTTTCAGGTCGTTTGATAGTTGATTTTTAATTTCTACAGCAATCCTGACTCTTCCTGTCATTCGTAGTTGGGAGTTGCTGATGGCGTCTTTTGCGTTTTCAACAACCAGATTCTCCAAAAAGAACAAGTACTAAAGTAACAACAAATCAAACTTTCTGGAGAGCAGCGGGACGCTGGTCGCTGGGCCAACACTTACCCTGCATTCTCGATCTCTCAAGGGTCTTCGATGCCGTAAACTCAACGGGCTCTAGAGAGACATTAAAAATTTAATGCCCCGAACGATTTAAGCTGGCGCTCAGACAGATTCAAAACGACGAGATGGCGCGAGTCTACGACCGTGAAACAATTAGAATAGTATTTGACATACCAGTGGAATAAATCGAGGACGTGTGTATGTCTCGGCCCTCCTAAACCTTACAATCGCAGTAGTGCTAAGAAAAGCTCATCGTGAAGAACCGCCAGGAATCGACGAAAACTGTGAAGCCGACGACGCATGGTATCACGAAAATCAGTCTTTTCTTGGCCGACGATCACGTATTGGACTCCACAACTGAAGCGGACGTTGGGCACGGTTTGGATCTCATAGCTTTTTCGTGCTTCGGATTCTGGTTAGTTATTGGCAGTGAGGAAGCAGCTGTTTTGCCTCGACAAGAAGCCTGGATAGGTCCTGCCAGCCAGTCGTATAAAGGAGCAAGTCGGCGAGGGCATAAAAGCCAACTGCCAACACTCAACACCGCTATTGCCCCACCCTTACGAAAATGTCTGCACTTTCGTCGCCACTTCAAGAATCTGGTTGGTCCCGTCATCTAATTCGCATTTATCGCAGTGGAGCCGATTTCAATCCATTCGCTGCTCTCATACCGAAGAAACGGTTGCAACACTCGTTAGATGGGACCGTGATCTTCAACCAGTGTACCCCGTCATCCTGTCGGACAAACCCGAAGACACCATAACAGGGAAAGCGCAGGGGACGAATAAAGACCACCAGCAGTGTTGAGGTAGTGCCAACCTGACCCAACCCGGATAGAATTTGC